ATTCGTTTTGTTTGAGTCTCTATTTCTTGTTCCTCTTTTCCAATATTATTGCTTTGCTTTTAAAATGCAAGGCAAGACTTTCTCTGTGAGTTTGAGGTCAGCCTGGTCTACACTTTACATTTCAGGTCAGCTAGAGCTACACAGTGAGACCTCGCCTTTAAAAAAAAAAAGTGAGATTATAATTTATCAATTGACCATATTTTGTATTGCTTGTTCTGGGGACTAAAGTATATTTCCTTGATCATTATTTGGCTCACTTTCACATAAAATTTGAAGATATTGCACCTACATAAGTCTGCTTACCAACACTACTTTTGATGCTATGACTGTCATGTGGACTACAGAGACACATTACAGCATGATCCCCATGGAACAATGTTGTCATTCTTGTTCTTTATATTTTAAAGATCATAAGATGGGAAACGAGCCATTTGTATTGGCCAATTCCAATATATTTATTCCATCTTGAGCATTTCAGGTCTTCTCTGGTGTGCCTCGCTCCAGGCTCCAGCTTCCTTTGACATCTCTTGAGTCTTTTGGAAACAAAGCCTCTGCACTTTTCTGTATCTAAAAATGCCTTTGTCTTCATGCTGAAAGCACATTTTAGCTATGCAAATAACAAGGTTCTTTGGTATGCGTTCTTACTGTCTTTCTATCCCCTCTTTACTTTAAAAAAACATTTTTTCTTAGCTTGGTGAGATAGCCAGTAGGGAAAGGCTCTTACAGCCATGCCTGACTATCTGAGTTCAAGTCCCAGGACGTATGTGGTTGAAGAAGGAGCCAACTCCTACAACTTGTCCTCTGGCCTCCAAATGTGTACCATATACACACATTATCTCTACCCACCCCATACCACAAATAGATACATGCCATTAAAAACCATTAAACCATCATTTTTTTCTACCCTTTGTAGTTTCTGAAAAGGAGGAAGTGCTCACATGAGACATTTCCCTGAACATACTGTGGTTCCTATGAAGGCCCCTCACAACTGTCACTGTCCAATGTTTAAATGAGAAGGGCAGAGGCACAATATCCTCAAAATCATCCCACTTATGCTAGGACATGGATTTAAGTATTTCATAATATGTGAAAAATATGTCATTATTTTTCAAACATACTTTCTGCATGATTCTATTTCTTCCGTGACTCCAGTTACATGTCTAGTAGCTAGCTATGCTAAATTTTGTAGCACAGTTACCGGAGCCTTGACTCTTTTTTCACTGTTCAGGCATTTAAATAGTGTTTTTTTTTTTTCCTGTGCTCCAGAAAATTGCCACGGCTCTATTGTAAGGGTTACTGGTACTTGTCCTGGTCACCTCCACATGCTCTAAGGCCACTCAGGAAATTTTGATTTCAACAGTGACAGCTCTCCATCAATGAAAGTTCAAATCTGACCCATCTTGGAATAAATGTCAGATAATTGCCTATTTTTTTCAAAACTGCTCCCATTTTCTTAGTTCCTTATGTGTCGTGGAATCTGAGGTTGTGGCGTGTGAATAAAAGAATGTAAATGGTAAGAAGGGAGACCAGTTTCTGCTTTATTCTCCAGGGAATATTGATCTGTTTTGACAGGCAAGTAGATTAGCTAAACAGAACTAACTGAACAGGGCCTTGGGAGGCAGCTCCAGGTTTGGCTAAGTTCTTTCTTTTCTTTATCTTTTTCAGACAGCACCTTACTCTCCCCCTTGGCCAGTCTGGAATTCACTGTGGAGACCAGGAGGGCCTCAAACTCACTGCAGCCAACCCGGCTTTCATAGTAAACACTGTAAGGTGGGAACTCAGCTTTCAAGTTGTGAAGTACAGCTCTGCAAAGCTTCAGCTTGTGTACTTTTATTCTTCCTGCCTTCAGGTAATAGATGAGGGAGGGTCTATACTATAATGGATGCCTCTGGTCATGTCTGGCCTAGTAGAGCTTTCGCGGTCACACCAGAAGCAGGATGTAGAGACAATACTGTAAAGTATAGAGAAAACACTGAGGAAAAATTTTCTTGTATTTCCTAATGATTCCTTAACCTTCACTCAGCATCTTGACTAGAAATACCTGGTTTTGGTCCTAACAGGAAACAGAAGTCAGGCCTGGGGCTCCTTTGACCATCTTGCCAAGCACACGAGGAGACTGGACTAAATCTACAGATTACACACTAAAACATCACACAGACATGGCAGTCTTGAATCTCAAAACAGTGAGTTCTGTACTGACCATTTCTCCTAGGTGTATCCATGTGACACTTGGCCACATTATTCAGTGTTACTTTTGTGGCTCTAGACATCTCTACATCTACCACATTGACATAGTCATAGGTAATATTCTAAGAGAAAGGAAGTATTGAAAATACTTCAATAGTAAGTAAAGTGATCTACTCTCATCCATACTAGTGACAACCATGTTTTGACCATTAGTCCTTATGAGTACCATGTCTTGAAAGCTTCTTCATGGAAGACATCCTCCTAACCACTTAACATCAATTATCTTTTAATCTTTCATAACCATTCTAGGAAACAATTCCTAAGATTAGTTTCATTTCATTTCATTTCATTGTGGAAAAAACCAGAGTTCAAAGAGGTTAAGCAGGCTGATGAAAATCAAACAGCAAACAGCAAAAACTCATGCAGAAACAGCAGAGGGGAAGTATTTGAAATTATTAGGCACTGTCTTTTATTGTTAGGAGAAGAAGAGACGTCTTTCTAAGCACAGAGAAATAAGTGAGGTCTCAAACTTGAAAATCACTCACTTTTAATTACTCTTTCAAATAATTGCAGGCTTCATTTTTTAAGAGCCTTATTTCTAGGATTAAGATGCCAAACAGAACAAAAATACTGAAGGTTAAATGGCTATACTCAAAGTTCACAGCTCACTGCATTTCCTTTTGCCTTTGTTGTTGTTGTTTTGTTTTGTTTTTTTGTTTTGTTTTGTTTGAGACAGGGTTTCTCTGTAGCTTTAGAGCCTGAAACTAGCTCTTGTAGACCAGGCTGGCCCCGAGCTCACAGAGATCTGCCTGCCTTTGCCTCCTGAGTGCTGGGATTAAAGGCAGGTGTGTGCCACCACTGCCAGGCTTCACCGCATTTCTCTTCAGCTTTGTAAGATAGGCTCTCTAGATAAACAGAGAATCTACCAAGAAGTCGGATGCATTAGGAAGTGAAAGTGGGAGGCCTATCCCAACCTACCATGTATTCATTGAAGGCTTTTACATGACAAAGCAATGTCCGATAGCAATACAAACTCTACAGGCAGTTCTGGCCAATTTGATGAACTTCACATAAACCCGTGGATGTCAAAGTCTTGAGGAATCATGGGAAGGTAGGCAGAGCCAGGGGCAAATTGGTGCACAAGATAAAGTAGATGTAGGAGACAGGGTTTACTGGTGTCTTTGTCTTTTGATTCATGGAGTTGGTCAATTTACACACACACACACACACACACACACACACACAGTTTGCAAAGACATAGACATGAAGATGTTGATAAAGGAGGAAGCATGAAGAGAAATGACAGGAAGGAACAGGAGCATATATGAAAGCAAGGTTAACTGAACACAGCCTGCCAAGAGTCGTGCACATGTCCGAGATCCTAGAATTCCGGCAAATGGTGAAATGAAGGCTAGGCATGCTTGAGGCCAATTTGGGTTATATAGAAAATCCTGTCTATAAATATGTAAGTTAATTAATTAAAAATCAAATAAAATAGAGTAGCTCATTGTCTACATGCTGGCGAAATGACCAGACTGAAATTGTGGAGCCAACACATATGACTATCAGTGTGCACCTGTGTGTATCTGTGTGTGCATGTGTGTGATCTTTTCTCACACATAACAAATATCACAGACAACATCCCTATAACAAAATACAAGTTAACAAGTGGAAAATCTGACATACAAAGTTTTATGTGACATGAGAGACTTTGGAGATAGAAACCAAAGACTAGGGAGAACCCATTTCTTATGCTTAGATATAAAACAAAATGGACATTCATGTAGGAATGTGATTGGTCAAAAGGATGATGACCTACTGGTCTGAGACCTCCTTGACTGAGAAGAACTGAGCAAGGCCTAGGGATTCAGTAACTTCTCAGCTTTCCTGTGATCTTCTGTTGACCTAGGGTTGGAATACACTCCTAGAATGAGTTATGACTGCTAGCAGACAAGGTGTGCCAGAGAATCTCTGAATGGCCAATCTTACACACAGTTCTGGGGGAAACTACACTGCAGCTTTTTTAGGTTTTCTGGAAGGTTTTAAGGACTGTCATGGGAAAGGAAGGCAAGAAAAAGTCAGAGCGAAGGCATTCCTCCCAGCATGCCTAACTGCTGTGATCTGAAGCCTGTCTTCTGAGCATCGTGAGTTCATTTCTCTTCCATCAGCTATCTCCTTTTAAGTTGTGTTTCTGACCCACCGGGTGAAAACACTTAGGCATGAAGGGAAGGGAAGACTTTAGCTGACCTTTGGGTCTCTTAATGGGATTCATCATTCACTACCTATTCTGTACCAGCAGGGGATTCTCTGACCAAGAGCAACCCTCCACCCTTGAAGGACACAGGTCCCTTGGCGGAGGGCTCCTCTCGCTGCTACTAATTTCATTTCAATCCTACCATCTTCCTTAAAGACACACAAGGCATTAAAACCTGACTTTGTGACTACTTAACCTTTCTTTTCCTCCATAAAAATTATTAAATATGTGTGCCTATATAGTGGGGGAAGAACAGTTATGGCATGTCAATCAGGTACCGGTTCGGCTGTGCTTCATGGGATGGGAAGGCAATGCTTTCCTTCAGAAAGTGAGGCCATCATTCTTTTATGTCACTGACATAATATTTATATTCCTATTTTAAAACGGCGGCTACAAACAAAAGCAGCAAGAGGGCAGGTTCTCTAAGGAGATCTGGCTCTAACCATGTACAATTATAAAGTTCTATTTATATGCAAAAGAATGAGACTAATAAGGACATCCACACAGTAAGGCAACAGATCACGCTCTTTGAAAAGAAATAAAATTAAGCAAGCACTACCTTTCACACGCGTGCTGCCTCCTTGGGGTCCTCCGTGCAGGACGAAGAGATTTTGCAGAGGAATGACAGAGAGGGTTGTCCCAGGACACCTAATGGGAAGAACAAGTTCAGATGATCACTCGGCAGTGTATCGGACAGCTTCGAGACACAACGTCATACAAACAGTCCATGAAGATCACTGAGCTGGCATGGCTGCGTTAGGAACTGTTTAAGGGGCTATAGAGGCACAGTGCAGCTTCGGGAACCATTGTTGTTTCTCTGCAGGAGAGTGTGGCTCAGAGGAATGACTCTATCTGTGTCAGAATGGTGCTGTGTCTGTCCATATTCTGATTCCCACCCCAGGGCTCCTAGACGCAGCATCTGGCCTCCTCCAGAATGGGACAATCCTAATACTGGGATTTCTGTTTTGCAAACAATGAGCCTGACCCAGGAGAACACTGCTCTGGCTTTGCAGAATTCCATGTCAGATCCACTCAAGAGTCACTTGTGGGTCATTTAACTCCCTCTCCTTTGGAATATGAGGCCAACTGTCATTGATTACGAGTGAGATGTCTTAGGGTTTCTATTGCTGTGCTAAAACCCATGACCAAAATCAGCTTGGGGAAGAAAGGGTTTATTTCATCTTATACTGAGGGAAGTCAGGGATTGAGCTGAAGCAGGGCAGGAACGTACAGGCATTAATGAATGCAGAGACTTTAAGGAGTGTTGCCTACTGGCTTGCTCCTCATAATTTGCGGGCCTGCTACCATCCCTGGGCCACCACCTAGCAGGCTTGGTCCTCCGGCATCAGCCACTAATCAAGAAAATACCTTACAGGCTTGCCTGCAGCCAGATCTTAGAGGTTTCATGGAGGTGTCGCCTCTGGATGATTCTAGCTGTGTCAAGTTAACATAAACTAGCCAACACAAAGAAGAGCACAGGCGTTTGGTACAGCTGTCACGTTTAGGCCCTACACAACTATTCAATGTAATTGATCTTTTTATTCTGTCCCTGTCAAATGGGCATAGTAATATATGAAGGATGCGTTTATTAGAGGATTTTTTTTCATTATCGAAAGTGACTAAGAGGCCAACAGATTCTCTTGCTCACAAATGACCCAGTGACATCCCCATCTGGTCACCTCCTCTTCACTGTAATCTCTACTTTTCCTTCATAGACCCTTTTTGAAATAAAAAAATGCCATAGTCACAGACAGTACTTCATTCTCTGTGATTGTGTCCAAGGCATGTCACTTGCCCTGCTCATTCTGTGACTGAAATCATTCCTCTGTCACCAGCAAACACTTACAGAGACGACAGAGCTCCAAGGCAGTACTCTCTACAGCGCTGAACACGATAGTTTCACATTCCACCGAGATCCTCATAGGGGAAATCAGACAATAAAGTAAGGATAATAAGTGCCTGGGTGATTACAGGGCATTGAGTGCTCTGGAGAATGTGGTCTCCCCACCCAAGGAAGGAGGGAGGGAGGAAAGGAGGGAGGGAGGCAGGGAGGGAGGGAGGGAGGGAGGCAGGGAGAGAGGGAGAGAGAGAGATTAAATTCTTACTTTCCAGTTTCAGAGAATGGAATAGGGTTGCGCAGACAAAGCTTAAGATGATGTCACACTGGAATAGGATGGGCCAGATCTAGTGGAAGAGGTTTACATCTAAGAGGAGACCGTGTGAAGATGGTGACACAGCAGGAGGATGTCCTATGAGGACAGGGACCAGCATGAGGCTGCTGCGAGGCAAGGAGTGCTAAGTGTTGCTAGCAAGCCACCAGAGACCAGCAAGAGGCGGAACCCCACCCCTGCACCCCCACCCACCCATTCTCTGGGAGAGCTCCCCTGGGAGCATGGCCCTGATGACGCTCAGATTTCAGAGTGACAGTCTACAGAGCTTCCAGACAAAAAAGCATTTCTGTAGTTGCACGTTTCTCAGTTCGCAGTATGTTTCGAGTGCCGCCCTAGGAAACGGGCGGTGAATTTACGGAGGGGTCTACATTTTTAAACAAGGAAATTAAGGAAGATCTCACTGGGAATGAACATCTCAGGCAAAACCTGAATGAGATGCAGAAGACAGACAAAAAGACGGCTTTGGAGGAAGACCTCTCCAGGCAGAGGGGAGAATGTTGATGTATTGGGAGGGAAGCAGCTACAACTGGCAAGAGGGCTGGGATGAGAAAGCAGGGACCAGCAGCTGGGGTCTGCACCCCTGCTGTCACTCAGGCTTCTTTATGCTGCAAGGAACAAAAGTCACTGTAGGGTTCTGAGTGGAGGTGGACCAAAAGCTGACCTGCATTGTAGTGAGGTCTCTCTGGCTCTTTGGTGAGAATAAACTGGAGATAAGATCACTAAGACATCTCCCTGGGAAACCTGAAGAAGAAAACTGCAGCCAGTTGGTGTGGAGACAGTGGGGACCAGACAGCTCTATGCTGGATATTCAGACATCAGATCCAAATGACTGACACACTGGAAGCGGAGTATATGCCTGACTTCTTAGTGATGCAGAGGACTAAACCAGATCGCAAGACAATCTAACCATCTGAAGAGTGACCTCCCTGAGCCAGTCACGCCTTCAGGGACACATTTGGCAGACAGGGAACAGGAAATCAGGACATATAAGAAACCTTTTAAAGGAAAAAAATAAAAAAGCAGAACACAAAACAACAGAGGAATGGGGGTTATTCAAAGACGAAATATAACGGATCATGAATGTAAAAGTCCAGGCACTGGTTAGGAAGAAAAAGGAAATTAAAATAATATGATTTCATTTTCCTTCCATCCAAGTAGTTAACATGAAAAGGCCTGGCAAAATTCAATGTTGTCCAAGATGTGAGGCAAATAATGTAATATTCCAATTACTCCCGGCAGAATCCCGAATCGGGACATTATTCTAGTCAGGGCTTTTATTGTATTTATCAAAAGCCGTAGGGCATATTCCATGCATGCTGATTCTACCTGGCAGAGGGGCTCAGTGAGCCTGCATACGGGGAGGCAGACGCTAAGAATAGCATCTTCACACTTTTGTTTTGTTTTGTTTTTAGCATAACAAGACTGCACAATGAATTAAACGCTCACCCAAAAAGGCAATGAGTAAGGAAAGCTTCACTTCCCTTGTACCGTGGAACAACGCACAGCCCCTAAAGGGAGTCAGCTGGTTCTATACACGTACATCAGTACACATGCGTCTCTTCACAGATAATCATTAGGCAACAGAAACTACTGGAAACGCACAGACACAGTCACATGTAGCATGTGGATATGCCCATGCGCATGTGAAAACACAAAGAACGCACTGTTCAGGGACACGCCTCACGTTTCACAGCATAGGGGTTTCTGCAGGAAGTGAATGCATCGGAGGGCAGAGAGTGAGGAAAGGGCAGGGATGATATGGAATCTACCCTGTTTCATCAATCAGCTTTTTGAAAAGCAAAGGGAAAGAAGACGAACAAACCTTTGAAAGCAAATCTGGCCAAGTGAGGCAGGTGCATGTTTTGGATTCTGGAATTTCAGAAGGCTATCATTTTATTTATTTTTTGTACCTGTTTGTATATTACATTTTTTTTCAAATAAAAGAATGAAGAAAAGAAGAGTGGGGGCTTGGAGAAAAAGGGGAAGAGTGGGAAAAGGAAGTCAAGGAGAGAGCGGGTGTGAGGGAGAGGGAGGAGGCAAGATTGGTGGGTGGGTAAGAGGAAGGTTCAGGGAGGAGATTTAAACTGGCCACAAGAGTTTGTTTTCTTAAGGATGAAAATTCTAATTTTTTGTGTTAATGTTGCTTTGCTTTCCTTGTTGTTCATTTTGTCCCAACATAATATTTTTGATTACTGATTATTTTGGAATTTCACAAATCACACTCACTTCATAGTTCTCAGAAGGAGGAGAAGGAGAAGGAGAAGGAGGAGGAGGAGGAGGAGGAGGAGGAGGAGAAGGAGAAGGAGAAGAAGAAGAAGAAGAAGAAGAAGAAGAAGAAGAAGAAAGAAAGAAAGAAAACATGTCCAAATTTTATTGTCCAAATACTCATTGGTCAAACTTTTGGTGGCCAGGCCCTTAAAGAAAACTGAGCCCTTTCCCACCTTCACCCCCACCAGAAGCCATCAGTTATGGAGAGCTATACTTCAGCATCCTTACCACAATTTTTAAGCGTTCTCTTTGAAGGCTTTCTGTCTAGGCTGTTACTTTTGGGGGTGAGGACCACTACAGAAGTCTTTTATATTCCTCTTTCTCAACTGTGAGTCTACAGCCATAGATGTCACTGCAAAAGTAACTTCCTTGCCCGTTACAGTCAGCAGGAGGAGAGATCATGGACTTCTGCGTGGTTTCTGGCTTTGTGCCATGAAGTTCAGTTTGGTCTCTGGTGGCAGTGCAGACCATGGGCATCAACACAGACCTCTGCTGCAGCATGGGCCATGAACACCAATATGGTCCCAAGCATCCCAAGCAGTAGTGCAGCCCATGGCCATTTATTTACATGGCTTCAGGCAGCAACACAAGCCATGGACATCCACATGGCCTTTGGTGGTGACTCAGACCATGGACATTAACATGACCCCGGCTGCGGCAGGACCACAGACCCCCATCACAACCCTCTAGAGCAGCAGGACAACAGACCACAGCCTCCCATCATGGGCTCAGGTGGCAGCATAAGCCAGGGCTGCTAACCTCAACAACTCCACAGCAGCACTACCCTGAGGCATTGACTTGACTTGACTTGAGGTAGCGGCACAGACCACAGATGTTTGCAAGCTTATTCTAGTCTGTGGTGCTAGATACCAAACCTAGGACGTCAGGCAGGCTAGGTAAGTACTTGTTCTAGCACTACCTTACACTCCCACACCAGAAGTCCTGCCTCAGTCATCAGTGAGGCCGAGGTTGATTTGCTCCAGGGTGCCTTAGCCTGCGGAACAGCATGAGAGATTAGCCAGAGAGAAACAAGTGTCATTCGGAGGGACAAAGAGCCCTCTGCCAGTGGACACCAGAACAACAGTAGTAGTGACCATCAGTGATCCCCACCCCCACATTCTTGGAGCCACCTACACCCCAGGGAAGAGCGAAACACAGGTTTGCAGACAAAGCAAACCAAAAGTATGCCACGGGTGTCTTTTCAACCTT